TTGTTAGATTCCTAGTTCTTGTTGATCGACCCCACCTACAGGATGTTGGGTGCCCATACACTTTAGTTGTAAGCAACTGGAATTCATCCTCTACTGAGGAACTTCATCAGTTTCCGGTTTGAGTTCCAGTAACTGATGAAGTTCCTCAGTTAAAAAACTAAATGACCAAGTCCAGTTATTTACAACTAAACTCTTTGGATAACATGACCTGGAAGAATGAGAATCTTCACAGACCAGGATGTTGGCTGGTGTAGAGCTCTAGAGAATAACAGAACCCTGACCAGTATTGTCATCATCACCATCATAGTCAATCCTGATTGGCTAATGGCTCAGTGCTAGCACCAAGATGCATTCATTACAATCATTTTGCAGCTAAGACTCCAAGGCTGAATTTATAACGTGCTCTAAAAGCTTGACGGAGAGAGAGATTTATATTTATAGGAAACAATAATGTGTGTTTTATATCTATGAACTCTTTAAAATCACAGGGTGGGGCATTAGAGCAGCATTTAAAGGAAGTTTGTATCGTTGTAATTTATTAAGAGGTTCTAAAACTGGGTTTATCTTTAAATTTGTTATTTTGCCAAAATGTCTGTTTCCCACTGGAAACTACCGTAAAAAAATACTTTTTTTCACACGCTTGAACTCTGCGGCTCTGAAGTTCATACCGCTAGTGATTAGCCGCGGAGCTAATGTTAGCTTCAGCTCTAGAGCGGATCACTAAGTCTCCAGCCTGTGCATTCCAGCTACAGTCAGGGCTACGACGCAGGAAAGAGCTAACGTGTAACTAGCCGTGTTACAGGTACCGTTGGGGGGAAAAAAAAAATTATTTAATTAAAAGTGAAAAAAAAAATCTTTGTGTAAATACTCCATGTTACAACATGGACACCTGCGGCTTATAGAGAAGTGCGACTTACATATGTACAATAATGTTTTTTGTTTTTTTTTACATTTAGCGGGTGCGGCTTATATTCAGGTGCGCTCAGTAGTCCAGAAATTACGGTAGTTGTCAAAACACTTACTGACATTAACCGCTCTAAACAAATTTGTTTTACCTATGAAAGGTATAAAAACACAATCACCAATGACTTCTACGTCACTCTGACAGAAGAACTCGTCATTATTACATGTCATTATTCAACAGTGAACTGATCCATCAGCTGCACCAAGTTTTACTAAACCACAGAACTGGAGCCATTCATTATGACGTCTGTGTTAAAAATAGACCAGTGATGACCAGTGATGACCAGTGATGACCAGTGATGACCAGTCCTGCTTAGTCCAGATAAATAACCTGGTGTGAGGTTATAGTGTGAAGCTGGTCCACACATACACACAGCACAGGACCATGTGCCAGCAGTAGTCAGTTTAAATCAGCAGCGTTGCAACAAGAGCGCGGTGCAGTGGCCGATATTACAGGCGGAGCAGCTGCTCAGCGTTTTCCATGTGTGTGTGTGTGTGTGTGTTGAAAATATTGCATCAGCATTAAGCATTCAAGTGCAACTCCCTCTCTGGAAGTCTGTGCGGAACCAAGTCATGATCGATAAAGCCACCATTCTGACGCAGCAGGGCCTCGTAACACACACACACACACACACACACATACACCCACACTCAGATGAGTGTGAGAGCTTTCCTGAGTCACTCAGCTTTCTTCTGGTGTCGGCCGCCACCCCAGGTTAAGACCACAGACGACTGACATTCCCATTAAAGACTGTGACCCAATCAACCGGCTCGTTACGGAACGCTACCGCCACGGACACCGCTAATGCTACGGTGCGGAGTGTGAAAGATCTGAAGAAAGAGTAATGAAAGGATGACAGATTCTGCTTCACACACTGATGATGCTGCTACACACACATCATCACACACACACACAGCCTCGCTGATAGACATTCTGGGAAAAGTCAATATTGTGCCAGGCAGGCAGACGGGAGTGAGATTGCCCAAAGGTAACACGGAGGTTGAAGGATATCAGAACAACTTATTCATCAAAAGGCCATTGGTGTTTTCAGTTTGGGGAGGGGGCTCAGGGGGGTGGAGGTGGGGCACACGACCCTGTGGAGACAGATAACAGTCATATCTGTCATGTCATTCCACTACAGGCTCCAAGAACCAGGAGACCTGGACACAGTCTTTAAATGTGTGTCTGTCTCAGCGTGTGTGTGTGTGTGTGTCATGCACCACTGCTCATGTGCAAAGTAAATTCTAATCACATTTACACAGGACTTGGGCTCATGTTCACACTGCAGTCTCATAAAAATGAGACGTTGGAGCTGCAGCCGAACAGCACACACCACTGAAAATAAAACATGACTGTTATTAATGTGGGACAGATTGTTGTCAACGACGCACGTCGGGGGGGAAGAAAGCATGTCACAATGAGAGGGGGGGGGAGTCAGAAAAAAGAAGCCGA